ATAAATCGCCATCAGAAATAAGTGTTTTCCGATGGTCTTACGTGACCCCTGTGAAAGGGTCATTCGACTCCCAAAGGGTTCGCGACCCACAGGTTGAGAACCGCTGCTTAAGAAGAAGACAGAGGAAGAAGAGTCACGGGAGCAAGTGCAAAGGCATGACGACGTGGAGGACTGAGCCTAGTGTGGGTGTCCAGAGGAGGGGTCCATGAGCCTGTGCAAGGCAGAGAGGCCGGGTAAGAAAACCAGCACATCACTGACCGCAGGAGTCTCAGCAGCGGCCGTTGGACGAGCAGCGCTCCAGTGGGTGGAGGAGCGAGGAAGGAGAGATGGGATCTCAATTTCTCTTTCAAGAAATTCGGCCACGCATTCGGTTAGGGAGAGCTTAAACCCGGACTAGTGGGAGTCTGAGAGGTAAGAAAAGGCATTTTGATTTTTTCTCTTTCTTTTTCTTTTCAAAGTGTGAACATGCTGAGTGGAAAGGTAAAGGCACAGAAGAAAGTGATTGATAGCAAACCCCTAAGGGCCAAGAGGGCGTGGATGAAAGACGCAGGCATAAAGAAAGAAGCTCAGCATCGGCCTGCGGACCCAGAGTCCCGGGTTCGGTTCCTGCTAAGGGGATGTACCTTGCCTCGGCCTGGTTGGGGTTCTGGGGGTGACAACCAGTCGATGTGTCTCTCTCACGTGGATGCTTCTCTCTCTCTCTTCACCCCCCCCCCCCCAACTGTATCTGTGGATGAATGCAAAAAAAACGTCTTCGGGTGAGGATAGCCTTGGAGCTTGATGTCTTGTCAAAAGCAAAGAAACAGTAGCAGCTGCTACCACAGTAAGAAACACAGTGGATGGGTTATTGATGATAGATGTTTTTGTTTAAAGTATCCTGTAACCGCTCTGTCTAATACTTCCAAAGAACTATTAATAAACTTACCAATTAAAGAAAAACTCTTTTTTTTAATGAAAATGTATTCTCTGCCACAGCTGCTATTATGTTATAAACATCTGTCCATGCCTTATAGAAATTTTGTATTTCAAATGAAAATAGAATAACAAGACTGACATTGAATATACTTGATATGCAATCTACCTCATGATGCATCAGTGAATTTATTTTCAATATAAAATCTGGATGAAAATCTTTGGATTGTAAAAGGAAATTACAGTGTAAATAAATTTTAAGTACAGTTCCATAAAACATGAATTTATCAACAGGATTACTAGCTTATCTGAAATCTTGTGGTAATGTTCTTTATTAGAACTATGATTTTAATTTAATAATCAAGGTACATTGTGGATTTAATTGTATGCTTGAATTTTCCATTAAATTATCTATATAAAAGTCTTTTACTATGATGATTACCCAATGATGTGAACATACTTAATGCTACTGAGTTGCACACTTAAAAAATGGTTAAGATGGTAAATTTATGTTATGCACATTTTACCACAACAAAAAAGTCATTTGCTATGCAATTCGATACTCTTTAGGCTGGACAATTTCTTTATTGTGAAAATAAAATATAGTGAATTAAATACTTAGATGTTGCAACAAAAGGGTATTTGAGTATTCAATAGAATTTAGAGAAAGGTCAGAAAAGAGTACATGTTCAATCCTGGCCAGTTTGGCTTAGCAGTGAGAGCGTGGGCCCGTGGACCGGAGAGACCCAGGTTCGGTTCCCGCTAAGGACACGGACCTCAGTTGCAGTTTGTCCCTGACCCCAACCAGGGTCCATGTTTCTCTCACCCCCTTCCTCCCTCTTTCCCTCCCGCTCTATCTGAAGATAAATACAAAAATATCCTCTGGTGAGGATAAAAAAATAAATTAAAAGAACATATGTTCCTACCCAGTTATTACATCTCTGTACCCTCCGTTGGTGTGCTTTAAGAGAATATTTTTTAAAAATTATACCCAAAATAGCCTTGTAGGTAATGAGGACTATAATTTAAAAACAATGCAACTTTTTAAATGTTAATCAGGGAGGATATGAAAGGAAGCACAGGACTTAACCAAGAGGCTTATTTGATTTCTCTCCTTGAAAGCGTTCTCTCCTTGTTATCTCGGAAGGTAACATGGTTGTTAAGAACACACATTGGACACACTTAGGATTTGAAAACAGATATTTGAGATATGGAGTTGTCTTAGTCCATTCGAGCTACTGTAGGAACCCCAAAAGAAACTATACAACTACAGACCCATTAGCTGTCACTTTCCACTTTTCCCAAGGCCCCACCTCTTGCCATAGGTAACCACTGATATGCCATAAAGACTATAGATCTATAGTCTTTATAGATCTATTCTGAAAATGTCATACAAATGGGAACATATAATATGTGGTCAGACTGGCTTATTTCACTTAGCATACTGCTTTTAAGTTCGTCTGTTGTAGTATGTATTATTGGTACTTCTTTCCTTTTTATTGATAAATAATAGGCCTCATTTAATTTATCCATTAATCTGTTGATGGACATTTGGGTTGTTTCTAATTTTTGGCTATTCTGAACAGTGCTGCTATGAATACTAATGTACAGGTTTTTGCATGGATATATGTTTTCATTTTGGGGATTTTCATTTAAGGAGTACAATTGTTGGAAACTATACATTTAACCTTTTCAAGAATTGTCAGAGTGTTTTCCAAAGTGACTGTACCATTTTACATTTCTACAATGTGTGAGGATTTCACTTCTCTACGTTCTTGCTGACATTTGTTATGTTGTCTTATTTGAGCCATTCTAGTTTGTTGAAAGTAATATCTCATTATGGTTTTGATTTATCTTTGATGGCTTATGATTTTGAGCATCTTTTAATGTGTTTACTGGCCATTTGCCTAGTTCCTTTAGAAAAATGGTTTTCATATCCTTTGTTTTTTAAATCGAATTATTGGTCTTATATTGAATTCTAACAGTTGTTTATATATAGCTACCAGTTCCTTATCACATACATTATTTGCAAATATTTTTTTCCCCTATCTGTGGCTTATTTTTTTCACTTTCTTGATGGTATCCTTTGAAGCACAAAACATTTAATTTTGATAAAGTCCAGTGTGTCAATTTTTTCTTTAGGAGACTTTGCCTAACCCAGTGTTATAAAGACTTACTCCTATTTTTTCTTCTAAGAGTTTTAGTTTATAAATGTAAGCTTATGATTCATTTGGAATTATTTTTGTGTATGTTGTGAGGAAGGCATCTGATTTCATTCTTTTGTATATGGATATACAACTGTCCTTGTATCATTTGTTGAAAAGACTGTTCTTTCAAAACATAGCTCTTCTTTTTCAAGATTATTTTGGCTCTTCCAAATCCCTTGAATTTGTATATGAATTTTAGGAGCAGGTTGTCAATTTCTGCAAAAAAGCCAGATGGGATTTTGAGAGGAATTGAATTAAATCTGTAGATTAGTTTGAGAATTAATATTGCCATCTTAACAATATTAAATATTCTTAACTATGATTATGATGTCTTTCCACTTGCTTATGCTTTGTAGTTTTCAGTACATACATGTCTCACATTTCTTTTATTAAATGTATTCCTGCCCAGCTGTTGTGGCTCAGTGGTTGAGCATTGACCCGTGCACCAAGAGGTTGCCAGTTTGATTTCCAATCAGGGCACATGCCCAGGTTGTGAGCCCAATCCCCAGTGGGTGGCATGCAGGAGGTGGCCAATCAATGTTCTCTCTCATCAATGTTTCTCTCTCTCTCTCCTTCTCCCTTCTTCTCTTTCTAAAATTAATAAAAAAATAAATATATATATATATTCCTAAGCATTTTATTCTTTTTGATGCTATTACAAATGGAACTGTTTTAATTTAATTTTCAGATTGATCATTGCTAGTGTATAAAATATAATTGATTTTTGTGTTTTGTTATTATAGTTAAGTAAATATAAAAAGTTTAGTTGATTCCATTTTATGTGGAGTTTTATAAAGGTACATGTTTTTATGGCCATCTTTATAATTAGCAATTTATGATCATTAGAAATTTGAGTGGTCTAGATAATTTCTTAGCAGACTGCCCAGCGGCCTCCCGTACAAATCCTGCATCTAATAATGCCTTACACTGCAAAGTAGCATGTTGATTTAGGACAGGGCTTCCCCAGCACAGAGCTGACATTCTAGTGCGGGGGACTCAGACAATGAACAAATAAGCAGCAAAAAGGAAAGGAAAGCAGTCTAAGGGTTTAAAGGATGACAGGGAGCAGTTGTAGATTGTGGTCAGGGAGGCCTTTCCATAAGGTGATATTTAAATAGAAACCTAAAAGAAGAGAGAAAATGAGCCATGAAAAGCCTGTTTGGGAAATGATGCCTTGTGCGGAAGGAACAGAGAGAAGCGTGCTTACAGTGCTGAAGAACACTAAGACAGCATTAGGCCGGAGGGAGATGAGCAGTTGGGAAAGCGGCAGGAATTAAGATCAGAAGGATTAGGACATTCCACGTTGCTCTGCATGAGATGAGACGTCCATGCAGTTTTGTGCAGAAAGGTAACATAATCTGATTTCGATCGTTACGGGGAGATCAGATTGGCGAGGAGCAGGTAAGAGGCTGTGGCAATAGCTTTATGTGTAGTCTAGGGAACCCCAAGGACCTTTCAGGGCTCCATAAAGTCAAAACTGTTTTCATGATAAGTAAGATGTTGTTTGCCTTTCTCACTGTATTGACACTTGCACTGCTGGTGCTAAAGCAATAATGAGCAACACTGCTGGCACCTCAGCACAAATCCGCAGAGTGGCACCAACTATACTCCTAGTCACTGTATTCTCCACAACCACAAACTTGTTTACATGTCTGTTTCACTTAAGTATGTCTTTGACAAAGTAGCAGAAATTATTAATGTTATTAGCTCTCAACCCTTAAGAACATGTCTTGTGATGAAATGGGAAATACACGTAAAAACTTTCTGCTGTCTATAAAACTACTATTGTTGTCTGGAAGAAAAGCATTTCTGCAAGGGAGTTGCATGCTGAAGTGGCCACTTTTTTCCGCTGAACAGAACATATTTAAAAGAATACTGACCCGCAGCCATGTCATATTGGGTGCCTGCCCCACCATGGCGGGCACTGGGAGGCTCCCATAGAAACACCAAGACTCATGGGCCCTGATCCCCTCTGCTGGGCCTTAGGGATAAATTCAGTTATAAAAACCAAGAAAAAGAAAGAAAAAGGAGGAGGAGGAAGAGGAGGAGGAGGAGGAGGAGGAGGAGGAGGAGGAGGAGGAGGAGGAGGAGAAGGGAAAAAGATAGAAAAAAGCCCACTGACAAACTACCTATTCAGACTTGGATATTTGGCAAATATTTCCTTGAAAATGAACCAAGTGGGGTTGCTACTTGAAGGAAAAAGCTGACAATCTTTGTTGCCAACAATAAAATGAGTGCTGATGGAGGAGTTACATTTTGGAAAAGTCGGCCAGCACAAACCTGATACTTCCCATTAGTTCAGACATTTTCATGAGACTGGTGGTGATTTGTAAAACTATGCTGCTGTTTCAACTAATTGTTTGAAAATTTGTATTGTTCATAAATATGTTGTGTTAACACATTATGGTTCATTACTGTTATTTTTCAAAGAGTTAATAAATTAAAACATAGATTTTCAGGACAAATACTGCACAATTCCCCTGAGATAGTGAAAAGAGTCAAACAGGTAGAAACAGAGGGTAAAGGGTGCTGCCAGGGGCTGGGAGGAGGGAGGAATGGGGACTTGCAATTCAACTGGTATAAAGTTTCACTCATACAAGATGATTAAGCTCTAGATATTTGCTGTACAACATTGTGCCTATAATTAATAATATTGTATGGTACACTTAAACATTTTTAAGAAGGTAGACATCATGTTAAGTATTCTTTGCCCAATAAAAAAAGAAGGAAAAAAAAAAAAAAAAAGGAAAACAAAACAAAACCCAAAACACTTTGTGTGACTTGGGGAAATTTATTTAATCTTTCTGAGTCTCAGTTTCCTTATCTGCACATGAGGAAAATACCAACAAACCTTACAGGCTTATTGTGCATATTAAATTAAAGTGGTAGCATGTAAAGAACACAGTATAGTTACAGGCATATAAATGGCATATTATAGTGGTGTCATTTTTAGGTATTCCTTCTCTTCTAGATTTTTAAAGTTTTGCTCCAACAATATGTCAAACATTGGAAATAAAGTATCTGCACTATGATGTTTTAGATACTATGACTTTTCTATGTTACATTTTATTACAGTATGTTTGCTTAACCTTTGTAGGATTATTCATTCCATATGTGCTAGGGACAAATGGAAAGAACGAAGTAACATCTAGTGTGTACAACTGATTTTATTTAACACAAGTCTAAATCTCAAACATAGGCCTGGGGAGGGGCGTAGAGGGGGGAAAATGTGGGACATCTGTAATACTCTCAATAATAAAATAAATTGAAATAAAATCTCAAAATATGGGAGAAAAAAATTTCAAATCATTACTAATAAGTATTAAATCACTGCTAGGGATATAGGTATTCATTCATTCATTCATCCATCCATCCATTCATTCTTTTCTTCAAGATGAAGTCACTGAGTCCATACCCTAAGTCAGAGACAGCTAGGTGCTTATAATCCCAAAATGGGCAATACAATTTTGCCTTCAAATAATTTATGGTTGCTCAGTGAGAACCACAAATGCCAACAAGCCAGCAGAGTTATAGATACCGTTGAAGATCTAGAGTGGAGAGAGGGAGTACCAAAGATGCCTGTGAGAGATGAATGGCAGTCAGAACAAGTGATAATAGGCTAACTCTGAAAACATGTATGCACTCGCCCGGTGGGTAATAGTGGTAGGGGTTGGGGGAGAGCATTGTAGGGAAAGAGAACGATGTGTGCAAAGTCACAGGGGCATGAAACAGCACACATGCTTTCAGAGATGGTGGACGTTCCATATGGTTGGTAGAGATTTGTGGATAGGAGATGGCAAGGCATCAGCTGTGGCCAGAACATGGAGAGCCCTGTATATTCATACATAAACGAGCCACTGAAAGACCAGATGAAGACCCATCTCTCCTCCCTAATTTCCACCCAAATCTATCTGGGATATAGTTCCAGGAATTGTACTACAGATTTCAGAATTTTTTTTTAGATAAAATTTAAGAAGGTTTTTAAAAGTACTTTGAAACAATTGAATCCCTACCTACTTTAAAAGATGGTTGGCTATGGCGGAGAAATTTCCAAACAGTAGATTCAAATTTATCTTTATGATTCCCAGTGTTTTTTCTTTGCAGTTACATGGTAAATATCTGCGTATATCATCTCAGTTCTTAGGCAATTATGCTGATCCCCTGAGCAGAACATATAAAGTTGGCTCAATTTCAGCATGCAGTTTCTTCCTAAGATTTGGGGGAACTATAAAATAAACTATAAGAAGAGTTTGAGTCTATACAATTCTTACACATGAAAGGCTTGTGAAGGCCTCAGTGAAGAACAGTAAGTTGAACTGAATATACTTAGCAGGAGAGTTCATTTACACACACCAGAGTCGTACAGAAGGAAAGGAAGTACTGGAAGAGGGAAAGATGTAAAATGCTGCCTTACACCCTTTGAGGCTATTCCTTTAGAGTCTTTATTTCTCTATCAGTGGCATACAGAGGGAAGAACGGGAAACATCAGGCTTATTGCGTGGGAAAAATCCCCTTGAAAATATTGAGCACTTAAGTAGAATAATATCTGAAATACATAAGTTATAGATAGGCATACTGATCACTTAAAAGAGAAATAGCTGCCTTGGCCGGTTTGGCTCAGTGGTTAGAGTGTCAGCCTGCGGTCTAGGGAGACCCACGTTCGGTTCCCACTAGGGGCATACACGGTGGTTGCAGTTTGTACCCGGTCCTCGTTGGGTCGTGCGGGTGGCAGCCACTTGATGTGTCCCTTTCACGTTGATGTTTTTCTCTCTCTCCTCTCTCTCTCTCTCTCTCTCTCTCTCTCTCTCTCTCTCTCTTCTTCTCTCCCTCCCACTCTATCTGAACAAAAAAATGGAAAAATGCCCTCGGGTGAGGATAAAAAAAAAAAAAAAAAGAGAGAGAAATGGCAGATGTCTATTTATTTGTTTATTTACCTATTCATCAATTTATATTCCTTCATAAATCTTCTTTAAGATATACCGAGTGCCAACTATGTGCCAGTTTCTGGCTTGAGTAATTTGCTATATTTTATCCTATTTTAAATGTCATCTTTTTTAAAGCTCCAGTTTATAATACTCCATGCTGGTGTATAAAAATGAAATACTGAGGAATAAAGCTAACAGAAGATGTATATGATTTTTACAAAGAAAATTATAAAACTTGTTGAAAGCCAACTCCAAATAAAAGCAGTGATTCACCGTGGAATCAGAGACTATAATATGCAATATGTTAAAACACTAAAAAATCCAACAGGTTTTCTTGTAGAAAATAAGATAATTCTGAAATTATATATATGTATATATATATATACATATACACACACACACACACACACACACACACACATATATATATATATGCATATGACCAAAGGGTTAAAATAATAGTTAAGACTTCCCTGAAGAATATTGAAATCTTGAAGTATGCCTTCTCAAATACAAAAAATAGTGTGCATTGGTGGTAATGTGGTGAACATAGCTGGCTTTCGAATATAAAAAAATTATAAATTTATAATAATTGACGGAAAATTAACTCAAGGCTAAACAAATTGATTAGTGAAATAAAATAAGGAGTCCAGAATTAGATAAAAGGACTTTAAAAATAAATTATGATGGAACGGCTGGTGTGGCTCAGTGGTTGAGTGTTGACCCATGCACCAAGAGGTCACTGGCTCGATTCCTGGTCAGGACACATGCCCAGTGGGGGGCATGCAGGAGGCAGCTAATCAATGTTCTCTCATCGACGTTTCTCTCTTTTTCTCTCTCTCGCTTCCTCTCTCTCAAAAATCAATAAAGGAAAACGATTTTTTAAAAATAAGTTATACTGGAATAATTTTTTATGCAAGTGAAAATTATTGAAATTGAATACTGTCTTACATGTATACTCTATTAATTATCTGTTGCTGTGCAGCTAATTACCCTCAAATTTGGGAGTACAACCAATAATGAATGTTTATTTCACACAGGAGAGCGTATGTGGTGGTTCTGTCTCAGTCTCCTATGCGGTTGCTGTCAAAATATTAGTCAGGGGCTTCAGCCTTCTAGCGGCGTGACCAAGGAGGGCCCACTTCTAAGACGGCTCAACCACGTGGTTGTTGGAACCTGTTCCTCACTGACTCCTGGCTGCGGTGCTCAGCGCCTGCTCTGTGGACTATTTCATGGGGCTTCTCCTTTTTAAAAAAATCTTCACCCGAGGATATGTTTTTATTGATTTTCAGAGAGAGAGAAAAACATCAATGTAAGAGAGAAACATTGATGGGTTGCCTCCTGTGCACACCCCAGCTGGGGATTTAACCCATAACCTGGGTATGTGCCCCGACCAGGAGTCAAACCCCAAACCTGTTGGTGCAAGGGATGACACTCCAACCAACTGAGCCACCTGGCCAGGGCTCCACAGAGTTTCTTGAATAAACTCACAACATGGCCACTGGCTTCTCCCATAGCTAATTACACAAGAGAGTCAAGTGAAGCTGCAGTGTCTTTTATTACCTGGCCTCGGAGGTCAAATGCCATGATTGCTGCTTATCTGATTTATCACACAGAAGCCTTAGTCCATGTGAACGAGGGAGGCAGAGATGACTGGGGGCCATTTTGGAAGCCTGCTACCACATACACAGTAATGAATTATAGGTTTCATTAGAGAAATGCATAATAATCTTATAAGGCAATCTAGGAGAATATCTCTATGATCTCAGAGCAAAGATTTCTTAAACAAGACACAAAATACTCAAATCATCAAAGAAAAAATTGATAAATTCAATTATATTAAAAATAAGACCTCTGTTTATCAAAAGACAGAAAATATAAAATGAAAAACATTTGTAACAAATTTAAAAGTCTTAATATCCAGAATACATAAAGACCTGCAAAACGTCACTAAAAAGATGAACAACACAAAAGAAAAGTAGGCAAAAGATTTGAGAAAGCATTTTACAGAAGAAACAACAATGGTCTATAAACATTAAAAGATAGCCGTCTTATTTAGTAATCAGGAAAATGGAAATTACAGCC